ACTGAACACGACAATGGGACTGTTTTCCCGCCTCCCAGCTGCAGGAGACACTTTGCACAACTATGTGTGCGAACACAGATGATAGTGATTCGAGTTAGGGCTAAAACACAATTCAGTCATGCACTAAACTAACGTTTTAGGGCGGAACTTCACGAGTGCTACTTACAATGTAGGTTTTGACTTTGTTGTAACCTTCCAAGATTTCCCACTAGGTTAAAGAAGGCAGGGTGACTACGTGCGCTCAGGTAGAAGCGGAAGGAATCGAGCTCTGACTTGTTTCGAAGTCCCGTCCATGCAGTCAAGGGCAGGATGAATACCAAAGTGACCTTCAGTCTCCAAGACAAGGTATTTCATTCTCACCCTCAGTTTTATGTCAAATTACTGTAGCGACAGGAGGAGAGCGTTTCGCGACCCCATCTGACTGGCTCCGCAGGAGTCTGCCTTCCTTTGGACGCTTTATTAGCCATATGAGCAGGCAATGCAAGGGATAGAGCAGTGAAGGGGAAAGGAGAGCATATCCATGTTCTGCGGGCACACCAACCCGCTCAAGCATGGCGACAGAACTGAACTCCCACCTCCCACTTAAAAGACACATCTTAAACGTCAAATATTTATTGCAAAATCCATCAACAACAAATCGGAATGCACCCTTGGGCAATAATTACTAGAAAAGTAAACACCTCCTACTTTCCCAGTCGAAGTACCCAAATAGCCGTCTCGTAAATTTAAATGTGATTGGTAAGTAGAGAGTAATAAAAAAACTTTGGGAAAAAGGAAAATAGGACTTCGCGTCAAAGGCCTTCCAATCAGCGAAGGAAATAAACCAAGCACCACTGGTAATTATTCGATAGTAATAAAATTTATTCAATGTTTGAATAAGGTACATACAATTCATACGTACACACACGTTCTGGAGAGAGAGGAGAGGACATAAATATTGCACTGAACCGAACACGCATAAATTAGGGACTGACAGAGAGTACAAAACCAAAAGAAAAGAAGACAAGGGCGCAGAAATTAGAGATAAAAAGAAGGAGATGAAGCCAGGAGTCAAAGTTGGTACTTTGCGACATCGGGTAGGGGACGAGATGTGCGACGCTGCTCCGGATGATGGGTGGGCGGGGAATGGGGAGGTGAACGCCCAGGTTCCGTTTCTATGGAACGCTCCATCAACGGTGTCATGTTTTGACTCTTGCGCACCTTCACCTTCATTGGCAATGCTCGTGCATCCGACTTTCGTAACTTTGTCTAACAAGTCATAATTATGGCATTACCAGTTGGTAATGATGAAGGGAGAGTACAATAGTTTCAATATATCGATGCGAATACCAGTTAATGTGCTCCGTGACGAGACATTCAACTGGTCATTCATGCTCTGGGCAAGGAAAAAGCAACACGTGACAAAATATCACTGAAAGGGAATGAGGAAGTCACCCTTCATATACGCGAAGGACTTTTACAAGTCAAACATCGACTTCTTAACTGTACTTTGAAGGAACAACCCCCCCCCCTTTGAACACACTATACATTCAGCCAGCCAAATTAATCAAAAAAGGACCATGGAAAGTAAGTGAATGAATCGCTTACAGGATTTTTATGCGAAGTCGACGGCTGCATCATTTCATCACCGTTTGCAGTAACTTGTCCAATTTCCTTCACATCGCCTTCCTCTACAATTTCCGGTGGAGTCACAGAACTGGATAGATCTGCTAAATTAACCAGGCAGTGCTTAATGGAACAAAGTTGAGAGCCATTTCACCAACACAACGTCTACACACGATGTCCTACTGAAATTCAATTAAGTAGAAATTTGATTATCCAAATTCACTCACTTTCGCTGTCGACGTAACGAAAGTCCTGCATCTCGAGAAGGATACGCGAGACATGAAAATTACGAAGTGGAGGAGGTGTTTGTGACGGCGGTGGATTTTCCGAGGGTTCGGCGTAGATCTCTTCCTTTCTCGAACGATCTGAGAAGGAACAGGGAACGCCTAATTCTAAGCAAGTAAACAAGACCCGATCCACCTCATAGGAAGTGATGACCGGTGGAAATGATGAAAGAGTCAAGAGATACGAAAAAGGCGTGAATCTTGTACACTTTCTGCAACATTTAATACCTGGAATTTCCACATAAGCATCACTACCGACATCCATTGTCACCTCGGCAACAACATGGGAGTCGAAAGAAGAACGTGAGGCGGCTTCATGGGTCGCATCCCCCTCCCCTGGATACCAGTAGACACCCTCATAGTCTGCCTCCGATGGTTGCTGTACGGAAGAGATGGGATGAAAAAAAATCACTACGGAAGTAATGAGATAATGGAAGCAATTTTACAGCTTCGGTAGGAGGCCGCCGAGTCTCCGACAGGAAGGTTGGCAACGCATTGCGAGCTCTCAAGCTGGCAATGGATTCACGCACGGTGATGTTGCGGTAGTGACCGCTTTTGCCGCTCCCGTAGGTGCTGCCTCCGTAATCACCACTGATGCGGGGCACAATCGGTGCTTCCACGACACCAATGTTGGTAGCAACTGAGGAAAAAGTAGGAGTCGCAGATTGACGATTGTCTGCTGGATTTTCAACTGTGTAAACAAGACACAATGTGAAACGATATTTCCATAAAAATATTAAAAAATGAGAAATGTTGAAAATTTCAAACCATGCAAACTAAGCTCACAGCTAGAAAACCTTTGAGGGGCTGTTTAGTGAGCAGTTGGTACAGAGGGAGGTTTGTAATCTACTCACTCCTTGATTGTTGCTGGGGTTGATTATTATGGCGTCGTCTCAGCCCAGAATGCAGCACTTCCAACAAATGCAGGCCATTGAAACTGGTTTCACTGCGAGGTCTTCGTGACCGTTCGTTGCTATGAGTACTATTGTTACTGTCAGTGCCGCAATCAGCGCTCTGATCAGCAGTAGGTCGATGAAAATTGAGGAGATGCTCCACTTCGGAGAGCCGGTAGGCTCGTGAGGGAACAGGAGGACCTACTTACAAAAGTACGGAACATTACAATGAATACAAATTCAAAAATGTAATCCCAAAGGAAATTACAAACTGGTATTGAAGTGTCAAGAAGCTGTATGTCTTACCGGGAGCAAGTTCATGAGTCCCCTGGCTCTTCACCGCCCTCCGATAGCCGCTGAGTACTCCATTGCTGCCTTGACAACCGGGAACAGCATAGACAACAGTCGGTCGCATGCGAACAGGGTTGATGACTTGGGGATTACGGACTTGGGCGTAAACAGCCTTAAAGTTGAATGGTTGGCAAGATAATGAGCATAAGTTGTGCGAAAGAAAGATTTCACAGGCAAGTGAACTGACCGGGGACTGACTCGGCGCAACTGCTGGTGCTTCCTGATAGAAGGGACTCGATCGATTGGGGTCGTGAAGGATTGAGGAGTAATATGGAAGAGCTGAAGAGCCACCTGAATCTTCACTATCCACACCATTCCAAAAATCCACTTTCTTACTTATTGTCGCCACAACTGAATTGGCGGCCACGGCAACCGCGGTCGAGGCTACAACTGAAGGAAGAAAAAAATATAACGGAGGAAGAAACAGTGATACTATCCTCTAATTCGATTGCTGTAACAATTAAAACTGCAACACACCTTCGGGTCGATTCCTTGGGGTGGCTGAAGCACCGGGCAAACCAACGCTAGCGTAGAGGGGATCTGATTCCGAAGGCTCGCAGAAGGAGTATGGACGAGTTCCATCAATTATATCCACACTTCTACTACCCACAACCTAAAGGGTAGGAAAAAATACCGCGCATGATTTGATCGTTTGCGAGCCTGCAATTAACTTTTGGACAACCTAATCTGCAAGGGAGAAAAAGTATTGAAATATGAGTAGTCATATTACTTATTTATCACAAGTAGCAACACCTTTCTAGTAATCAATATGAAAATTGCTGCATGGACAAGACCCAACGCTTTTCGTTTTAGTAAAACATGTTTAGTCTGATTTCAAAGTTGAATAAACTGCTTGTCAACTTGGTTTCTTTTTTTGGTACTAGAAGAAGTCCTTACACTCGGTAGCAGGGCTGGCGAATAGGAGGAAGGTTCAAACAAAAGTTCGCCTTAAGACGACTTTCAAGAGGGAGGTAGACACTACCGATGCATCCACATCGTCAAGACTGCATCCACGGTTGAGTATGCAGAACACACAAGGATGCGAGACATTCACAAAGGTCATAACTCCTGGACAAAACCCTTCCCGCATCATTAATGAGCTTGTCATAAGTCATCAATTTTCTGGGCGGCGTCCCAGTTAAAGAAAAGTTTTCAAACCTTGATTGGAAGTGAGGCATTCTTCACGCTCTCGATTACAACCCAATTGCTTCTGAAAAGCCCCCACCAAGATGAACAACTTTGTGACGCCAAAATCTGTCCAATACCCTACCGCATAAATAAAACTGTGAAGCCGCACCGAGTGGAGATCGCTTCAGAAAAGCGAAACGGCTAGAGTCCACACAACCACCTTAAACCGTCTCAAGAACAGAAGGAGAAAAAACAACTCCATCTTTTCATGTGATTGATTTGGCGCAAAGTCAAAGTAAACATGGTTAACTCCGAGAAAATGAGGGGAAGGAAAAGGTGATTAAATGCAACTCCTCTTCCTTGCACCAATTCTCTCCTGTCTTCTTTTTCCTTCAATTGACATTTGTAGAGCGATAAATCAACACTACCACCGCTATTACCCCACAGTGAGGCAACAAAAAAAGAAAAGGCGGAAAGAAAGCAGTAGCCGGCAAAGTCATTTGAACCTATCAGACTTTGAACGTGTGCCAGGTTGGACCAAAAGGCAATGAGAGACACTTCGCCTTTGGACTATGAAAACTGACAAATTCAGAGGAAATAGAGAAAAAGGAGTTTGGTGGATTCTGGGAACACGTCTTTACAAACTGCGTTTGACTGCTCCGATGAGTGAAGGCAATGTAACGCACATAGTGCTCATGAGAACAGAAGAATCCGGGCGCTACACTTATCTTGGGCTCATATGTTAACCTTCAAAGTAGGCCCGTTCGGAGGAAGGTGGCCTACAGAGCCCACAATGCCCTGGGCTTGCTGTGGATGTTGGTAGATAATCCTTGAGTTAATAGCAGGATCTATCGGCAAAAAGAAAGCCTAAAACCCTTGGCAGGCGATTTCAAAGGCAGGGAGGAAAGTGTTGTGCGTTTGCAAGCATGAAGCAGGGGAAATTGCAAGGGAAAGCGTAAGTGTCTTGAGTCTGCAGCTACGGCAGTTGAACTTCTACCCAAGCTTAAATTGGCAAGGCATAAAAATTGGATTTGTGTGAAAATTCCTTCCTACAAATTAGGAATCACTACCACGAGCTCAAGAATTGTGCTCTCTGTCTGCCAAGGAAAATAGCCTAACACCGCCACAGCCACCCCTCCGTCTCCCAGGAGTAACTCAAAGACACACAAATTAAGAGGACAGGGGACAGAGATAAAGGTAGGCTGTGCCCTAAAAATTGCACATCAGC